CGGTGGCACCCAGCAAATGCAGTACCAATGCACCGACACGGTCACGAACTATGCCGATGGTACGTGCACGACGAATGGCGTTACGAAGCCGACGAACACGCAACCGTGCAACGTCATTATGTCCTATGCACCTGTTTCTCCGTGCTCTGCGGCTTGCGGCGCGACACAGACCGTCACTGCGACAGCTGTCCTGAGCAACGCCGTGTCGCCTACAGCCTGTCTCCAAACCCAGTTGCAGTCCTGCACAGGTGCACCGTGCCCGACCAACTGCGCGTATGCATCCTGGCCATCGTTCGATCCCTGTTCGAACTGCGCGACCCTCTCCATCACGCGCACCATCGCCACTTCGGCGGCGTTTGGCGGCTCGGCTTGCCTCGACCCTTCAGTTTCTACGTCAGCATGCAGCTGCACCAGCTCTGCCACTCCAGAAGTTTCAAGCACGGCAGTCTCGAGCATTTCAAGCTCCGCGACTTCCAGCGTGACGCCGTACGTGGCTACCTCGACGCCGGGCGTTTCAGTGCCTGCACCCACGACTTCAACTGCGGTGCGCAGTAGTGCCACGTCGTCGATCAGCAAGTCGGCCACGCCGTCCGCTTCTCGTCTGTCGTCTTCTCGCACGGCCACACTGGCTTCAACCACCGGTGGCCCTGGGAACGTTCAGAATCAAACCGATTCTGGCAGCGGCTTCCCGCTGGGTGCCATTATTGGTGCGATTGCCGGCATTGTCCTCCTTGCTGTCATCATCCTGTTTGTTATTGCTCGGCGCCGTAAGGCTCGCGAGTCCAAGCCGGCGGCGTCGAATTCCGCGCGCGCATTGCCGCCTACTGCGTACGGCCTGTCTGTTGTGTGTTGGGTGTGTTGGTTGGGCGTTTTTGATGTGAGATTCTTGGCTAACTCGTACCTGTTGGGGGGGGGGCTGTTGTTTTCTCTTTTTGGTTGCATTTCACCTTCGGTGCAGAAGCAACATGGAGCTGTTGACTCGACCTGCCAGCTCGAAAATGACTGCGTCACAAAGCGAGACCGACGATGTGTATGCCGACGTGGGCAAGCCAGACTCCATCTATGCGGCGGCTCAGCCAGCGGCCGGCAATGCTGCTGTTCGTGATTCCATCTACGAAGACACGCAAGACAAGGCGCAGTACGCAGCAGCTGCTGGTGGGTCGACGTACGCTGCTCCCGAGGCAACCTACTCTGCTCCTGGCCAATCCAGTGGCGGCGGTGGCGAGGATCTCTACGCGTCGCTTGGCGACAATCAGGATTTGTACAGCACGGTTGTACCTGCTGCTGCTGCTGCTGGTGGCGCCTCTGGCAACACATCTGGCTTTATTGTCGGACCTCAGGGTGATGTGTACGCGGTTGCCGCACCTGGTGGTGGTAGCTCTGGCGCTCCCAAACCCGGTTTTACTGTTGGCCCGAGAGGCGACGTGTATGCGGTTGCTTCGCCTGGATCGAAGGCAGACGAAAGCCTGTATGACAATCTCTCGCCTTCGTACAATGAGTCTTCCTTCCTCGCGCCGAACGGTGACGTGTATGCCAAGCCCGCCAAGCCTCCGACACGGGGCTAAACCGCGTTTCATCTCGAATGATTGTGTTGTTTTGTTTGGTTGTGTTCTCCCCCTCAGCTATCCATTCGTCGTATTGCATTCATTAGTCGTTTTTTGTTGCTTTGCTGCATTATTCACTTGCCATGTTAGAATGCCGTGTGTGTGTGTGTGTGTGTGTGTGTTTGTGTGTGTGTGTGTTGCGACTCCTTGTTGTTTGCTCAACGCTTTGTTAATACTCAATGTCTCTTCTCCCTCGCTCGCTCTTGTATTTTTTTTCCCGTTCTTCCATTTGTTCATTCATCATTTGATTTCCCGTCTCAGATTCTAAATCTTACTTCTTTCTCGTCACTCTTCATATTTCCTTCTTTCCAATGTCGTCTTCTCGCGAAGTTCTCGTTTGTAAGAAACTTCAACTTTTTTTTCTTTTTTTTTTTTCTTATGCTTTTCCATTCAATCGTCTCGCTTCTCTTCCTTCTTCCTTCTTCCTTCTTCCTTCTCCCCTTCAACCCCGTTTCCATCATTCTTCACCGTCTTCCTCTCTCTCTCTCTCTTGCTTCTTCCATTCGACTCTGACATAGTGCAGCACTGACGTTGGTCGCCGTTTTGGCTGGGCTTTTGATGACGCTTGTTCGCTTCTTCCCTTTCTCCTTTCCCCCCGCTTACTGTTTGCTCACTGCTGCTCGAATTCAAACAACAACACAGACAAGATCGCGCACGACAACGCGCAACCGGGCTCCGAGGACTGGGAATCCATGGTCGGCCTCTGGGAAGGCATCAAGGACTCTGCAGCGTAAATCTCGCTTTTTTTATATTGGTTTTTGAATCGATTTTCACCATTGAGCGACCCATTGCGTTTCGTTTTGGGAACATCACCAACGACCGATGTCGAGGGATGGACGTTCATTACGATGGACGAAGATTTCATCCAGATTGCCGAGATGGTCGCCGACTGAGCGACTCTGGAACCGCTCGAAGAAACTCGAACTTCAATGCCAATCTTCTTCCTCTTCTCCACTGTTCACTTGCAGCTCACTTTGGCGTGTGCGAAATGATATGAACAGTGCGAAAGAGACCATCCAAACCCTGCTGAAGCGCGTCACATCCACGCGCAACCCCAACGTGCAGCTGGTTGCATTCACAGTGAGTTTTTGTGAAAGAACGTACGAATTTTGTCTGCTCGAGCTCTTTCTAACCTTCATCACTTCGGAGTTAGATTCTCGACTCGTGCATGAAGAACTGCGGACGCGTCTTTCAGATTGAAGTGGCTGCAGCGGACGTGTTGGACAAGATTGCTGGTTTGTTGCAAACCAAGGTAAGCCTTCCCTCCTATTTAACGGCATTGCTCAGGCAAACTGCCAGTCACCCCTTCTGACCCGTTTCCTGCTCTTCCTACTCAGGTGCAAACCAACGCCAAAGTGTGCGATCGCATCAAGGAGCTTATTCAAGACTGGGACACTGATTTGAGCAACATCACTGCCTTCCACCGAGTGTATGAAAACTTGAAGCGCGAGGGGTACGACTTTCCACCCAAAAAGAAGCCCACATCGACATCGTCGGCTCCGCGACCCGCTGCCGCTGCTCCAGCATCGCAGGAAGATGCCGAGCTGGCCATGGCCATTGCTCGCTCGTTGCAAGAAAGCCAGCCCAAAGTCACTCCTCCCTCTTCCCAGCCTCCACCGCAGCCTTTGAAGGTGAGGGAGACGCTGCTTGTGTTTGTGGGGACCAATTAGCTTTGTTTTTGTCTCTCGTTTCGGCTTGTTTTTGTTTTTTTGTTTGACATTGTCTTACCCTTCCGACCCTTGTTGTTTTTGCCAAATGATGTTGTTTGTGTCATTGAACTAGGCTCGATACGCTCGAGCTCTGTTCAATTTCGACACGACGCACGATGACGAGCTTCCGTTCAAGGAGGGCGACATTCTCACGCTGCTCAACACGTCGGATGCAAACTGGTGGCAAGGAGAGCTGCGAGGCCGCACAGGTCTGATCCCCGTCAAATATGTCGAAGCTGTTGACGACCATACGCCCACCCAGCCTGCTGCTGCTGCTGCTGCTGCTGCACCCGTTGCTGCTGCTGTGACAGCCGCTCCATCCGCAGGTGCGACGACCGCCGCGCCAGCGCCCACCAGCGCCGTCGCTCAAACTGCCGAGCCCACCATCGTCTCTCCCACGATGATCAGCGAGCTTTTGCAGCTCATTGCGAACGCTGACGCAGCTGGCGACAATCTAGTTGAAAACGAAAAGATCCGAGTGATGACTGACATGTGCAACGCCTCGCGAGCCCCCGTGAGCGCCAAGCTCAGTGACATTTCCAACCAGAATGCTCAGCTCATGGCGCTGAACGACCGCTTTTGCAAAGCCTTCCTGTTGTATGACCAGTTGCTGAAAACCCCACAACCGCCGAAGGCTGCGCCCTTCCCTCAACCGCAACCTCTCCAGCAAATGGGCCCTCTTCCCCCGCAGCAGCAGCAACAACAACCAGGCAACTTTGCCTACCCGCCTCAACAACAACAGCAGAATCAGCAAGGTCCCCGTCCGCAGCAGCCTTTCACGATGCAACCGGGTCAGGTTCCGGCCAACGCCGGTGCGTGGCACCGGCCTGGCATGGCAGGGTATCCTCCTGCTCCTGGCGGCTATCCACCACAGCAACAGCAACAGCAACAGCAGCAGCAGCCGAAGAGTGGACCATCTTTCGGCGGTCAGCCGCCGCCCCAGAATTTGCCGCAATACGCTCCTCAAGCACC